TGCTGGGTGCTTCAGTGGTGGACGTGATGTCGAGAACCCTGCCGCGTTATTTTTCGGCTGTTAGGCGTAACATTGGATATGAAAGGGAGTGTTGATTAGCAAAGTCCGCGTAGTAGCAGAGATTTACAGGTAAAAGAGAAATTTATTTGAGCTGGCAAGTGTTGGGTTTTATTTGCAGAGCGCTCTGTAATTCATTGGCAAATAAATTATTTTAACTGTATGGAGTATTTCATTATAAAAATGATAGTTGTCATCACAAGATTAAATAATAAATTCTGAAAATTAAAAATGAAATTTTCAACCCCAAAGTGCCATAAGTGAAGAATAACCCATATCTACTCTTCAACAGATATTTTAAAACTAAGACAGGTGTTAGCTGATTTTTTTTAGTGCTAGGAAATACAGTTTCAGTAATGCATTAATATTTGCCAGTTTGCAGAAAGATTTTTTTTTGAGAAGGAAGATGTGAAAAACACCTGTCTCTTCTGTTATATAAAAAACTAGGATCAGGGCTAAAGAAAATAGTACTTTTAATACCAGGGGAGGAAAAATTCCTCAAAGATCAGCCTGTGACTGGCACAGTTACTGCATCGCAACCTCTGCTTGGGTAGTTCAAAATTTAAATTCTGTTTAAATTAACACAGTGCTGCAGCACTTCCATTATCCTTGCAAAAACGCCTGCCTTTGAATATCCTTCAGGTTTGATAACCGAGCACTGAATTTCAGTCACTAGAGGCTGCTTCTTGTTGATAAATACAATCACACTCAGTGATTTATTGGATTGTGCATATTTGTGTGCTCTCAGTTTATCAAGTGGTTCGTAACAACCTCTGAAGCACAGGTTAAATTACATCATGTTCCCTATTATGTATATATTTATTTCTGGCTATGCATAAAGTGATCAGTAAATAAAAAGAACGGCTTTATGTTTTTTATATCATTAGAATTTATTGTCAGGTTGAAAATAAAGTCTGAAGCAATGATATTTGTTTTGTCACTCACCTTTTGTGCTTCGGTACCCACTTCAACTTAAAGTGATTGGGAAAATAAAGGAATTTACTCCTTAACTAGCTAGCTAACTTTAGGGTCTTTTCAAGGCAAATATTTTTTAGTTTTATTCCAGTGTAACATTTGTGTTGGCTACAGAAGTAGGAGATACTATTAGGGCCAGTGCTTGTTGTATTGCTCAGGCCTAGTAAGGAATTTTTCTATGCTTTGTAAACACAAGTCAAAAAGAATTAGTATTTCTTTACAGATACCACATTGACATTTCACTTAACTGACATGAGTTGTAGGAGGATTAATGCTGAAATGTTTAGATTTTATTGTATTATTTTAAAATCTCTTTTACATTCTGTCCCAAGTTCATTCTTCCTTCCTGTAATTTCCTACAAGCCTATCTATGGCTTCTAATGAAACTTCAGTGTGCATTTAAGACAGTCAAATACATCTCTGTTGACTCCTGCTAGGGTCTTTCCATTTGATTTTTACTGTCCTGTCTTTTTTTTTTTTCCCTGAGGCATCTCTGATACTTACTGTTACAAACCAAGAATCTACTTCCAACACTTCAAAAAACCATTTGTTTTTCTAGTTGTCGTCTCTTAAACATGTGTATTAACGTATCTGAATTAGTAATAAAATAACATGTTGAGGAACGCCTGTTTATTTTGAAAGATGAGTGCAAAGTTGCGTGCAGCTGTGTAGAATTTAATCTTGAAATTTTCTCTGTATTTGTTATTTATAGAAAAGGCAAACTGTGTGAAAACAGTCTGCTGTTAAATTCCTATCAAAAAATTGAATTCTTCCTCACTTAAAATACTCTTTATCGCTTGCAAAGTGTCAATATTCACTTTTATTAGATAAAATTCCAAAACAATTAGTTTGAGCCCTAAACCCAGCAAATTTTTGAGAATCTCATGGAGCCAGTGGTGTTTCCTTCCTCTGGGCCATCTGCATGTGTTCACAGTGTGACGAGTTGTGTCGGTGTGTTGTGCACGTCCCTTGCTCTGGGCTTACACAGTGCACGGGGACGGGGTGGCAGTGTGGGTGGAGGAGGTGTAACCCGAGAGATGGTGACAGGAATACTGTTACCTGGTGGTATTTTACAAGCAGAATTTGTTTACTCCTCTGATAACGTATTGGAAACACACAATACCTATGGAAAGTGCATTCCAGGTGTGTCATGTCCTGCAGGAGGTGAGTTGTAAACAGCCATGTATCAGAAAGGTCCTTCCAAAATCACCACGGGGCTTTCACGTGTCGGCAGCGTAACGGTGATTGAAGTTGGACGTCACTTCCATTTTCAAGGATCAGAGCAACTGAGGATATCCACTTCCACCCCAGCAGTGGAAATAGAATAGTTTCTCCTTGGGGAAGTAAGAAAATAAAGTTTCAGAGAGATTGAAACTTTTCAGCGAAGTATTTCTGTCCTCTGCTTTGCCTGCCTGAACATTCTTTTATAATTAGAACGCTGTCATGTATTGAGTGGGACTGAGACTCGAAATCCAAAAATTGAGGAAGGTTGTGTTTCTGAGGAGGAGATCACTTGCACAGTGCTTGTTTTCCTTTGTAGGAAGGCAAGGGGAATAGAAATGCAGTTTATCTTTCGCAAGATCTTTTTAGCCGATGTATTCGTATTATAGTTATGGAATATTTTTTAATTTACATGCTAAGTAGCTGCTGTCCTCTGAATTGTGGATGCGGTTGCACTGCAGATGTTTTCAGTCCTCTGAGGGCTGTGGCTGTGATGAAGCATGTATTTTTTAATACCTTTAAAATGTATTAATCATGTCATCTTTACTCTTTATTAAAAACATAAGTTAATTACAGTTCTTGTTTATGTGCTTACAGGAGAGAAACCGAATTCCTCAGCTCTTCTTTTTCCTTGCGGAGCCCTGAAAAGAGAAGTGCTTCCTACAGTACTTGGAGAAAAAGGTTGGCCTTCCCTTGGAGCCTCATTTGAATTAGTCAGTTATGAGAAAAGTTGCATCTAAAGCTCGTGACCCAAATTTGGATACGTAAAAATGAAATTTGCTATTATATTGGCTCAAGTTAGAGAGTGGGAGTAAAAACTGTGAGTTTGGATCACTGCCCATGGCTCTGGGACTGAGCTGTGGTGTGGCATGAGCAAGGTGGTTATTTGCCTTGGTCTTCACTTGCATGAGATGGAAGGTGACTTACTCACACTGGCGTGAGATGGAGAGTGACTTACTCACACTTGTGTGAGATGGAAGGTGACTTACTCACAGCAGCGTTGCAAGACTTGCCAGTTTGGCAGTGTGCTTTGAGGTCCTCTGGTTGCAGGTGCTTTAATAGATCTTGCAACTCTAGAAAGACCTTTTCTCTTTTTACTTTTTTTAGCCTAAAATAGTACACTTAAGTGCAATTAGGATGTTGAGAGTGCTTTATTGAAATAATAGAAATTAATGAAGCCCTGTTTAATTATGAATGTATATTCTGATTCCAGGTATACCTCTGGAAGGCCTCACTGTTTATCAAACAACCCAACACACCGACCTGCAAGAATCATTGACCAGTTATTTCTCCCAACAGGTACTGATGTAGTTTGAGAATTTTTGAGGTATATGATGATACCTAGTAGAATATATTCCGTTTATTTGACTGTAAATGATGCTTGTGGTGATATCAGAATATCCTGCACAGGCTTCTGGTTTGCTTTCCCTGTTGGTTACCAAGAAGATCCTTTGGCAAAAGTTTCAGACAGACAGCGTGAGTCCCTCAGTTGTTTGTTATGGCAATTGTAAATGAGCCTGAAAGAAGAAAACAAAACCTTTCACATTTTGTCTAACTTACTTACAAAATATATGTATGTTTGAGAATTGCTGGGAAATAACTGCAGCTAGAAATGAAATATTCTGTTTATTCCAAGACTGCTTTTTAAGTAATACTGTGTCAGAAATTACATTTAGCGCAGATATTTACTGAACAGCTTTATTAGTAATTTTTATTAGTGTAATTGAAATATCACTGGACATCTTTGCCACACATTACGAATCAGAATCTGGTAGTAATCTGCCCTGCATAGTTTCAGTGTTCCTTCTCCGATTATCCAATTTATGAATTTATTAATGATCTTATTGTAAGTGTTAGAATTCCACGTGACATGCTGTTGATGAATGTATTGAGATATGTATTAGATGATCTCTAAGGTCCCTTTCAGCCTATGCCATTCTATGATTCTGTTTGCTGGAATTGTTATTAGTGTTTTTCTCTTTTTAAAACCATCTAGTAAATGTCATTAAGCAAGGATCAGTGCATAGTAAAAGATTTGAAGGTGTTAATAATTGCTTTTATTTTTTCAAGATCGACTTTCTGAATTTCCCATTTGTAGGAGCTTACATGGTATCTAGGATTAATTTTATTCAAAATGCAGCTTTTCCTTCTTACAGAAACTGAGCTTGCTTGAGCATGTTGCACCTTTTTTCTAAATTCTGTGCATTAATGTCACGTTAAATCACATTCTGATTTTCAAGTTCTTTTTCAAGAGGTCCTAAAAGGTTATGGCAGGGGCTGTCTAACTGATCTATTGCACGATCCTGGTGTTCTAGGTGGGTATTGCAGTTCTGAACCCCTCAGTATTTAGTTTGTGGCAGTTATAAATGTGAGTCAGTAGCACCCACGCGTTTTGTACCTTTCTGCACTCTTTTGTGGAACTCCTTGCTTGCTCCATTGAGATGTTGGTTTCAGTGCAAAGCTGTTAAAACGTGTTTCCCTTGCGCTTTTCAGTTGTTCTTCACTGGTGATACTGAGGTGGTGTATTAGTGCCTGGAGAGCTGACATAAACACCAAGTGTTGAGCACTTTGTGAGACAACGAGCAGCACCGTTCTGGCCTCCCTGAGCCGAGGCTGTAAAACAACAGATGCAGTTGGAGTGGAACTGGTGTATCGTGCTGGTCAGACAGAAAATCACCATAAAGGAGGCGTGTGCTTTGGGTCTGCTGCGCAAGAGCTTGAGACCTTCACTCCAGACAGGATTTTCCAGAGTTTTCTTTTGACTACAGAAGGTTTCTGCTGCTAGCTTAAGGCAGGCTTGTTCAGGGAGAGAAAAAGCCTTTCCAGGGCTCTGCAGTTTTAAGGCAACACCTTATATTTGCCAGAGCATCTCAGGGCAGGCTGAACATAGGGTAAACCACATGAACTGGGAAACAAATATGTGCAGAATTGAGATAGATGGGAATGGATTTAGGGAGATAACTTGCTGAGTTTTCTCGCTGAACAGGAAAACGAGTACGGCTCCAGAATCCTTTCAGTACATTTATCACCACGTGCTGGTGTGACAAAGTATTTGGTGGAAGTCACACCTGAATTTCAGCATTCTGTGGTAGCACAGGGGTTTGGCAGACTGTCTGCCCCACAGGAAACCCTTTTTGTTGGCTTCACTGCTGTTTCTCATCCATAAAAAACACTTCACGTCCATCTAGAGGCAGTTGAAGGGATCTCTGTGAAAGTGTACTGATACGCCGCTGGAATAGCAAGTAATCTGTGCCAACCTGTGGTTACTTTTTCTCAGGGAATTCCAGCAAGCATCGTGTTCTTCAGTCCATCTGGTGTCAAATTTTGCCTGCAGCACATTCAGAAGCTTGTGGGAGATTTTATCAACCACGTCAAGGTACCTTTTCTTTAAAAATGGTGAAATACAACAGCGAGTAAGTTTGGGGTGGGTGAGGGAGGGATAGGGAAGCTGTTACACCCATCACAAACCTTTATTTTCTCTTTTGTTTGTGTTTGTTTCTCTGAAAAATCAGGTTGTAGCAAATACAAATGTTAAGGTTTGTAATTTGTTCCTTGAATTGGACTAAAAAGAAATTACTTAAAGCCGGTACTGGCAAGTTATTGATCATGTACGTTATAGGTTTGTTGGTGAAAAACCAGTCTGATTTCCAGCCTGGGAGGGAAGTAAGGCACTCTAGAAGGCCAGTGTCACTCTCATAAGCAAGTGTGCAACACTTCAGCAATCCAAGATGGCTGGTAATAGAGCTGCCCTTGTTTATGTGTGTTCAGCCCAACCGTAGAAGAATTATAAATGACTGTCAAGCTGTTTTTCATTCCTCATCGCCTCTCCTCGTGCTGCTTTCGTATTGACGCAATATCCTATTATACACTTGAGAACTTTTTTTTTAAAAAAAGGAATTGTTTTCACCTAGAATTCGTCCCCGGGTACCTTGCCCAGTCTCCACGGGGTACAGGCTTTATTTTCTGATAGTACTGTGAAGGTGAGAGTAGTTCTTGCTTGAATCAGCAGTTACAGGCCGAGGCACATGAACATTCCTCTCACTGTTCCTGTTTTGTGGGACTAAGAGCTTTCAGTGTTTGTAAGGGTGAGATAAGTAATCATCTTTCCTAAGTAATTTCTAAGTAGCTCAATTGATAGGTGGTTTTTAATACTGAAAATTTTCAACCTGAAAGGGTTAGTACAGTTCTGTGAGCTCAGCCATGCATGTTGAGACACTGACAAGAGAGGATGTGTCCCTAAGTAAACAGTTTGGAGCTGATACCACACCTGCCTGGGCTATTGTAACTGTCAACGACCTCATTTCAGTTTGCTGCCATCGGCCCAACAACTGCAGATAGCAGGAATCCCAGTGAGCTGTACTGCAGAGAGTCCGACGCCCCAGGACCTCGCCGCTGGGATCCAAAAAGCACTGCCCCTGCAGAACTGCTGTTTATCCAAGTGAGAGCACGGCCTGCTTTGAAGGTGAACACGGTGCTGTAGGGTTTTCCATTTTGCAGACCTGTTATCCTGCAAAAAATGTATTTTTCAGGAATATGCAACACTGTCCTTGTCAGGACTCGGTGGGAGAAGCTTGCATCTAAATAGCTAAAAAACTCAAGAATTTGTCTGGCATATTTTAAGGCTTGTAGCTCTTCCTCTTTTCTCATGTGTTCAGTGTAAATACTTTATGTGGGTATTCCTTGAAAACTAGTTGTGGGAGGGTAATCTGTACACTGAAATAAGCTCAATATATCACCTCAGGTAGCTCCTAGCACACCAGGTAAACACTTTATTTCTCTGAACAGTCAGCTTTACGTGCACATCTTTTTCTTTTGTAAAAGAAAAGCATACTTAGAAGGAAGTCTTTTCTGTTGTAAAGTTTGCTCGTTTGTTGTTCTGCTTTTCAAATATTTGTATGAAAACAGTGATTGTAGATTCTCAATGGAATAGGACAGTCCTTGCAGTGAAGTTGCACTGTAGAGCTAATAGCAGGTCAGTTATTCCCACTACATATCCTTGCAGTACAGGGGTTTAAAAAATTAGGTTTTGGTTCCTGTTGCTGTACAGAAGGAGGATTTATTAACAGAGAAATAAACTGGCTTATCATTGTTTATAACCGTGTTGTCTGTTTGGGAGGTGGTTTATGTAATTGTTTATCTGAGGAAGGAGAAAAAGTAATCCGATTTCGCACAAATGCTACCTTCGCTAATGCCAAGGAATTCATAGAAAATTTAAATCATAATGTGCTCAATTCTGATCCTCCTGGAAGTCATTCATGTTGTTAGTTTCATTAAATAGCAGAGAAGTTCTCGTTTGCTGTAAGTTTCTAAGAGCTTAATTCTGAGTACATGACCCGAATTCCCAGTTAGACAGGACGCTCTGTACCTTGAGTAAGAGTTCATCTGAACCCCATTACGTTACTACAAACCGGAGTCACTTCAAATTGTGTGTGTGGATCCATCAGCCAGACTGGGCACAACGAGATGACTGTTTCGCTTTACAAAGCAGTTAGATTTCTTGAGGTGAAACAGAATCACAGCAGTATTCCAATGGCTGGAAGAGAATGTTGAGCAGTGGGAGGAATACTTCACCATTAAAGAGCAGCATCCTGGAGGACACTGGAATCACTGTGGTAACTGGGTGTAGCTACAGGACAGTGTAGACATGCCCCAAGGAGAGAAGGAAGAGAATGATCACGCAGCAACTGGGGGACGATTGCAGTGAAGCTGGTGTTGGGCAGTGTCGTTAGAATGTGCAGTGCTGTTCAACGCTTCATTCAAAAATACACTAGCAAAAGAATTTGCTATATTGTGTAGTGTAAGTTACACCTAGTTGTAGGTCTCACCAATCAGCTCAGTCCCATTTCTACACGTCCTTCCAGCAGAAATTATCAGTCACCATCATTGCCAAGGAACTTGTCTGTAACACATTTAATGTCACAATATAAAAGTGGGACCCCCTGTACAGCAGGAGACCAGGCTGCCATACATCTGCCACGAACACACTCCGTGACCTGTGGCAAAGAGCAGATAACCTCTTCCAGATGGAGTCTTCTCCGTTCACCGAGGTGAGGTGCACCTGCTGTGTGCTGTGCCTTGACTGACACTATGTCTGAAGCTGAAATTGAGATGTCCTCAGTGTTCATCAGTGACAAACACCACCTCTAGAGCTTGGTTCACTCTAGTACTTTGTAAAACTGGAGTAGAATTGCAGCAGTGCTGTGGCTTTTCATCCCTTTCCAGCCTACAGACCTGGCTTGGCTTTATCCAAGCAACCCTTCCGCAGCTCAACCAGCCACTCCCAGATCACCATTGCCACCAAGTTCTCCCCAGGCTGGGCGTTAACCTTTTTAGAAGATCCATACAACATTCTGACCATGGGCCCTTGGTTATTTTATCCACTAGCACCCTGCTTTAGAGCACTGCATGAGCCCTCCTGCCCCTCCAGCCCCTTCACCCATTCCCATGCCTCCCTTCCTTCCTTGCTACCTCAAGTTTCCTCTGGAGAAAGTGCTGCCTTTCAGCATGGATTCACCAGTGAAATGGACTCAGGCAGGCAAAATCTCTTCCAGAACAGCCCATTTAGGGCTGTTCCAGTCCCAGGAGGACCAGGGATCCTGCTCTAGTCTGACACTTTTCTTTGGGACAGACCCAGACGTTCCCTCTTGAACAAAGCAAAGCCTGCAGCAGTGCCTGCTGTCTCTTGCATTAAGGTGGCCTGCTGAATCGATACCATCAGTGGGGTTTGGCTAAAATTTCCCCTTCCATCAGGAATCTGCCAGCAGCAGTCACATCCATGGACTGTTCTCTAACTGGGAATCTCTCTATCCTCTGCACCTGAGCCACTGTTACTGATCTCAGCAGTCTTGGTCACCCCTCAAGCTCCTCTGCTGTGAAGGAGATATGTTTGTGACAAAAAAAAAAAAATATTTCTCCTACCCCTCCCTACTGCCAGGCTTCCTGCTAACAACTTCAAGCACAGCCCTTTTAGCCGTCTTCCTTCAGAAACCCGCTGGTCAGTTTTCTGCAGCTTCAGCCTCCCCGAAAGCAAGGGGGGGTGTACAAGGTGTCACTTGTGCCACCTCCCAGGTGGAAGGCAGGAAAAAAAAAAAAGCAGAAACCACAGCCAGTCCCCAGTCTGCTGCCTTTTTCCAACCAGTCATTCCAAATCAGGAGTGACAGAACAGATACATACGCAGCCCTGCGACTTTCATCCTTTCACAAGGTGCTTCTGCTTCTCTCAGGTGCATTTGGGCTCTGCGTAGCAGCAGAAAGAGCAGGTTTCTTCTGAAGGCAGATCTAAGGAAGCACTTGTAGAACTACATTTAAATTGTCAGGAGAGAAATTTCTACAAAGTGGGGTTTTCTGTGTGAAAACATGCCCCATACAGAATGACTTTTTTTTATATCTCTCCCCATCAGAGTAAAAAATCATTTCCTCAAGCAAGCAGCTGAAATAGGTAATTCACTACTTGTGTGTAAGTACAGAGACTAAAAAAAACCAAACACATGCATACATATGCACATGTAAAAACTCTTAATGCCTTTAAATAAAGTGGTTTACACTGTTGTTATGCAATAATGAACCACATTTGTAGAAAAACATTAGGACACCAGATGTTGTATTTTTGAAAACTTTAAATAACACATATTTCCAAAGAAACAAGAGTCCTAACGTGCTGAGATTAAGACTACACTCATTTGTTAGGCCTGAGTTTACAGATTTTTTCCAGCCCCCCACTAAATAGTTTTAGTTCTCTTGAACAGTTTGCTTCTCTGATGAGGGTCATTAGCAGTCAGAACCACTAAAAACAAGGCAGGCTGATTCACAAGTTTATATTTAATAAATAAATTTTTATTTAAAAATATGCTCTCATTTATTCACAGTTTCAAGGCTGAAAAAGATAATACTATGCTTATCAATTCAAACACCACTAAAACCATTCACTTCCTGGGGCAAACGAGGGCCCAGTGATGGCTAATGTTCGCAGGAGCCTGGCATCAAAGCTAGAAAGGCACAGAGTTTTGTGCAGGAGAGTAACTCCGATGGAAGTAGTGTCCGTGCATCCACAGATCCCACAGAAATCTCCCTGTACAACTTCGGTTCACGTTACCACTTAAGTGTCCCAGTGAAGCCTGGCTTACCAAGTACATTTCACTAAATATCAAACCAGAGCAACTGTGAGGTTACACTTTTCTGCAAAATATTTCTATCACTGCAAAGCCTATTATCCGTAAGAGAAAAATCCTAGATTTCTCCAACATGAAGAACTGTTACTTTTCTCTCCAGAACCCGACTTGGGCATTTCAAACGAAGAAGTGCAGGTAACCAAACCATCCCAGAGTTACCACAGGGCAAAAAGGAATTCCTGTACGTCTGGGAACGAACGCTGTAACAAGACAGGTGATGTTATCACCTTCAATAAACACAGACATCACACGGGAACACGCCCCCAACTGGTCCCACACACAGCAAGGCACTGGTTCTGCCGTTGTGCAGCATCTCAGTCACTGAACTCCTCCTCCGTTACTGCCGTCACTATTCCGAGCCAGCTGTTCCAGTAAATTTAACATTACCTCCACTCGCTCCAGCAGAGTCATGCTTTTGCTAGCAGTTGCACGCAACAACAGGGAGTAAACTTGCTTGTTTGTTTTAAGAGCGACTTCTTCTTCATTAATGCCCCTAAAAAGAAAACAGAACACAAACTATTAACCTGACCACAGTGTTTTATTCTGCAAATTATCAAACAATTATTTGATAACAACAGGGATGACTATCTCCGTGAAGCCACAAGGCTGGTGTTTTGATTCAGGTCTCTTCTTTCCATAGTTCCTATTTCCTGCTGTTCCACAGCGCTGCAGTCGGAGCCTCCGCTTACACCGCAGCAGGGATAAGGTGTGCTAATTTTTATTTGGCTCCAGTCTGGCCGTTTTATTAACTCACCATTCTCAAACGGCATTGTAAACCCTCCAAATCCAGGTCTCCATGCCAAAACTCTGTACTTTTGCCCAAATTCGTGTCTGATCTGGTTATGCCAAATGCAAACAGACACTGGAACACTCGGAAGACGGTTTGTTTGCTCCCGTGCCACTGCCTGCTGTCAGCTCTCCTCTCCAAACCACTACGGGCATCATTTTCCCTTTTGACTCTGAAGCCCATTCTCTCAAGTCACTAATTTATTAGTGACCCAAACTACAAAAAAGAAAAATAAAAATGCTATCGATATTATAAATAACTTCAGCACATATGTGTGCAAGACTGTTTAGTTGCAAATGCTTCGGGAATTACCGAGAAATGGTGAAGCAAATTAAATTCATAACACTTGGCAGAAATCAGATAGGTTTGTTTATTAAATAGAACAGGCAAGTCAATAAAAAGCTGCTGAAATGAGAAGTATTTCCAGGATAAGTTACCACAATTCCCAGACTGAAGGATTACTTCCAGTTACTCCTTTCCTCTGATT